GCGCACGAAGTGCAGCTGCTATCCCTCAGGGAATCCATGTCGGAGGTCATGGAGAAGGCTGTCATCATTCAGTATATTGGACCAACATGGAGAAAGATTGGTAAACTGACTGTCCGGTCCATGAATTGCATGCACATGGTACGAATCCTTTCCGGGGTCCATCAGGGGATCGAGACGGGCCAAACCAGCTCTTCCACGGCATGGGAGACGCCAGAACGCCTCAGCCAGGCCCGAGAAAGCAGCCAGGCATGTCACTAGGCCGACGTCAAGCCTCATAGTTTGGCGCATGATCCTGAATATCGATCGCTCTTAGAACGAACGACAAGAGTGGGCTTCAAAAAGAGCGACAGTTGACTTTCCGCTATCACGAGCGAGGTAATCGGCTATAGCGTCGCCAAGTCAATAATTAGGAATCATATGGCAGAATAAAGTTCGAAATAAGGAAGGGAACCGATGGTGCCTGGTGCCGCTGGCTACTACATAGTAGTATAGACGGGCGATGGCGGGGGGGCAGAACATAGTATAAAATCGCATGATGAACAATAACAACAGTGGCAAAGCAAGTTTGCGCATAACTCCAACCCTTTGAAACCAGCTCCACATATAATAAAGGACAATAAGCAATCCAGAAACCGGGAGCAGGACAATCCTCTGACATCATGGTTGTTTCAACCTCAATGGCTGGTTGTCTGGCGCAAGGGGTGAAGACCTGATTCCCCTTGCTTCGTCGTCGGCGCGCAGTCTCTTATTACGCACCACTGGGATGTATTACACGAGGGCATTTAGGGCTGGAGCTTTGGAGAAGAGAGCATATATAGAACCGATATTACATTGGAGTGTGAATAGAGTGAAAGGGACAAAAAAAAAAAAAAAAAAAAAAGAAGGGAGGGGGAGAGACAGAGATAGAGAGAAATTGTAGACATACCCTTTATGGAAATCCGCAGCGACTACTAGAGTGGCTGTCGATCGATCGATTCTTTGACTCTGTTGGAGATACTCCAATAGTTATGCTGGAATCTCACCAGGAATCTAGGGCTTTTGAGTTGGTTATCTAGTAACCTCACTGTTCATTAGCCATGTTTCTTGGATTGGAATGGTAAATAAACCAGGGAGTTCATGGGAGACTGTACCGTGAGATGACAACCGCAGAAAGAACACAAATCAACAGAATTAACGAGAGACTGTGGAGAACGAGGGACAAAAGGAGTGTGGGAAAAAAAGAAAAAGGACAAGACAGAAAGGATACAATCCCTCTGAGAAAAATGATAAAGGAGCGGAAGGACGTCAACGCCGTCGGATGATGTGGTGGGAATAAAGAAAGGGAGAGGAGGAAGTGGTTTTAAACAAAGCGATAGTAGCAAAAGAGCCGAGTGACTTCAACAGAAGGTGGTCTGTTCGCTGGGGAATGTCAGTAAGTCCAGTCCAATTTGCCCCAATCACCAATGGCGATTGTCCTTGATTGTTGCCTTTTTCAATTTCTTCAGATTTTTTTGTTTTTCATTTCGCTTCCCTTCGCCCCTATCTGATAAACTATTTAATTCTGCATCTTGGTCTTCTACCTATTTCTCGGACCCAAGAACCGAATTCTACTTGGTCGTTGGGTCGCTAAGAAGCGATCATGGAACTATTAAATTCTATCTTCTTATTCCCATGACTACTGCGCTTCCTTTTCTTTCTTTCTTTTTTTTTTTTTTCTCGAAATTAATGACAATCGTCCGAACCAAACTCTGCAGGGAGGGGTTAAACGATAAGGAGCAAGATCATCTCAAGGAAATTTCATTAAGAGTTAGCGTCCCCTCTATCAGACTGCAGATGGAGCCCCAATAGCCAAGAACCACTTAGGACAAACTTACAAGCGCGGGGGGGGGCTGGGATGTCGTTTCCCCTTCCTCCCTATCACAACCTTCGCAGGACCTCCATAGATGACGGATAATTAGCAGAGGACTGGAGCGGTTTTCTTCGACGTCTCGTGTGCTAGTGGGACGTCCACTCAGAGACGTGAGCGTCTTTGGTTTTCTCAGCTAGTCAGCGCCCAAGAGAGGCAGTGCCCGACGGTTTCCCTGGGCCTCCACTCCGCCCCATTATTCGAGATTGCTGATCTCCAGGGGTAATGCCAGTACTCCGTCGTTCGTTCGGTCCCCAGCGAACAGGGGTGGCCATTCTGAACATACGGAGGCACCATATCGGGCGCTTGCCCTATGATAAAGCAGGAATCGTAACGGTGTGGATTGACCTGAAACGAAAGTTTGTGGTTTCATCGGAGGATTTGATTTGCAAATGAGAAAAAAGACGGAATTGGGGCCAACGCAGAAGATTGGCCGTTGCCGGATCCCGTTCCTGACTAGTGAGACGCTAAAGCGTTGGTCTGGGGCCGATGTTTGGGTCGGTCGCAAATTGCGGATAGGAGGTTGAAACGTGACATCATACACATCCGAGCCTCAGGGGTACTTTGGCAGTCTGGTCCAGTTCAAAATCATATCCTGAATAAGGCCAACACAGGGGGAGCCTTACATCTACCTCGGCCACACGAGTCATTCGCTTTCTGCGTCATGAAGCAAGCATATCCTGGGAAGTGTGCCTCACACGGTCACTGAGACGAGAGCGGGTAAGCACTTCCCCGAAAGTTAGCGACTGTCGTTTCAGAATCGGACGAACTGTGGACCATGTCGAGAATAGAAACTTGCATCCCGTGTACTGAATGCTAGTTTAAGCAGCATCGATACTTAACGCTAAAAGGGAAAAGAAAAAAAAGAAAAGAAAAAGTCAGATCTCACCTCCAAAGATTCCACAGATCTTCTATCGTGCTTCTCATAGATTAAATATGGAGTACTAAACGATGAAACGAGGGTGTGACACATCAGAAGGCAGATCATCCCATTAGCACATGATCTCGTAGCCTGGGGCTTTCGCCAAGTATCTTCCCGTGATAATGACATCCGTATTCCGTCTAACTCTGATACACCGACTTTTATCCAACAATGAAAAGTGACATCAATTGTCCATTTACCACTCTAGTTGAATTAACTGCAGCATGGCAGACACATCGCAATCAGAATGTGACTTCCTCTCTATAACCAAAAATGCTTCGTGCATTACAGCTAACACACTACATCAGAAGAACAGATGTGTACCCAGATATTAATAATCAGACCCTAGAGAACATGAACAGGCTACAATGATTCGGTTGTCTCAGTCAAGTTAGCAAGTTGTTGCCTGTGATCTATTTCTGCTTGATATATATATCAATATATCCATAATGCCATCTACTATCTTTCAAACCCCAAAGAGCATCACATGCGAACAGAATTTAGTCCCAGATACTACTTTGATAAGTAGAGAGCGTACTCCATAGACTGCTATGTGGTAACATACCCCACTTAACCAAGATACCATTAGGAGTTGGTTTATCCTTGTGATATCATATCACCCCCACTGTGGAGTATACCGCTCTTTGTTCAATGTAACCTAGAATAGATTCTGCTTTAGATGCTCGAAATCAGAAACCATGGGCACAGTCCTGTCGCTGACGTTCCTTTGCTCTTTTCAACCCCCCATCTCTCTTTTTAGCTCTTTTAAATAAATGATCTAATTCTTTTTTATTTTCTTTTCTCTGCTGATAATAACTGTGACGGCCAATGACTATCAGCACTAGTTTAACTAGGGAACAAAGTTTAAAAGAAGAAAAAGAATACAATATACTACTATCCAAGAGTAGTTACATAGTTACTATATGGACTACCTGAATAATGATCGATTTGACTAAGACTAGTAGAAGAATCATGGAATATCAAAACAACCACCCAAGGTGGGAGCGAAGGCAGAATAGAAATAACGGCACAACGGCAATACTTTTCATCATCCTAGCTTGCTCTTCTTTTGTACAGACTTCCCATCGACTACTAAGTTATTTAATACCCGAGTCTGTTTTCTCTTGGGATCTATTATCCCGTTATCATCAGTGTAGGCACCACTAAGAAAAGTTCTTTAATATCGGATGGCTGTTGAGTAATGACTTATTTCTTGGGTCAATATATCTAACTCTCCAGGGCCCTTGAGATATTTGGAGATAGTTATTACCGTTGAGCTTATCTACAAGAGTGTTTACTCTGAAGCATCCACTTATGATATTGATAGTAGGATATATTACAGACAATGCACGGTCCGTGCTCCTTGTTAAGACTCGGAATACAAGGCAAGTACCAGGATCCTGGTCTTCAGTTACTTTGGCCTAAACTTAAGGGTGCCTGGTTTCGACAGGTAATAACTCAGCTTGAACCCAGTGTCCATTTTTGGGCTCTTCTTCCATTTTGACACTGACAGATCCATAACAGATAAAAGAAGTCCAAGTCTTGTATCGATGTTCCCAGCGGCCACTATACTTATGGCCCAGTATCAAAGCTAACCGGCTTGTGAAAGGCTGAACCATTACCTGCCTTAACAGATATGTCTACGCTGAGCATACATTCTAGGTCTTGGCCTGTGCTAGAGGAGGCAGATTCCTCTTCGGTAGGAATTTTGAATGTATCATTGCAGACAATTTCGTCAATATCGCATTCCCACGCTCTGCCTCTATCGTCTAAGGTGTCTGGACCAAGCTCCGTTAAAAGCGATTTAACTTTAAGGAGGACCTCAGGTTCAGTGGCATCGCGCCGACATATCTTTGAGTCTGGTAATATAGGTCATTCTCACTACTAAACCCTCTCGCAGCGACCCAAACCCTTAATAATGGCTCAAGATCGGTTGGGCTAGCCTTAGATACTCTACCATTATTAGATATAATAAGAATACTACATACATATCGACGGTAAGAACTTTACCTTGTAAAGCTCTGATCATTGGGTCGGCTGTGTTGTAAACCATATCTATAAAAGTATCTGAACCTCCGACAGCTTTGATAATAATTCTATAGAAAGTAGGCCAACCCAAATTCCAGCTTCTTATCGGAGAGTAGAAGGTCGACTAGTATTCTCATCACGGATTTCAAGTCGGGGGAAATAATTCAGAAGCCAATGGCCTTATCAGTACATAGATACACTATATATGGGATAGGAATTTATGTTTCTACGATTGGCAGCCCATTGGGACCAGTAGAGCCCGTAGTCTTAGCGGAAGGTAAAGGATATATGAGTATACTTTGACCGCAGCATCCACAACAAGGAATAATACTGCAGAGATCAGGGCATCCAGTTTCTGGAGAGAAATATTTACCACACGTTTTGTAAGCCGGATCACAACTATGCTTATAAGTTGTGAGTTCGCGACAATCATTGCAGCAAATCACTGGCCCTGATACTTTCTCGAACGCTGTCCTCGTTCTCCTCCTTATAGCTAGGTGCCTTGCGACGAGGCCATTTGTATCTAAACATATTGCGGGATGGGTTGAATGTCTTTCCCATACCGGCGGACCATACTAGATAATCCGGAGACCCAGTATGGATGATCTTTGCGTCTTCGTCAATCTGACAGCGTCTGGACTGGAAAACGACGATCTTCCGTTTGCTCTTTATGCCTTTCTCTTCCTCGAGAGTCTTATTCTCAGGATCTGGGTGATATTCCAGCCATGGTTAAGAAGCGGGGTTAAATGTAGGGCAACTTTTGTCATTTAATGGCCGCTCAGGAGAATCCAAAACTCAAGCAACAACCTGGGTCTACCACTCTCTCTTAGACTTTGTCTCCTATATCAAGCTTCATCTAACAAAGATAATTATCAAAAGCCCTCGTTTATACCAAGCGGGGGAAACATATGCTATCTCGAGCAGTATCTACAATCCTGTAGCCTATCCCCACGCAGGACGGACATCTTTACTCTTTTCGGGTAACCACTTGAGTTTACGGACTAAAATCAACGATCAACTGACAACAGACTATGTATACCGGAGAGCGCATGATAACCATCAATTCCCCAAATTTCCAGCCACCGAACTCTACACCAATGGCACACCGACAACATACAATACGTCAGCTTGCTCATTTGATGCTCCCGTGTTCTTGATAAGCTTTTCTCCGTCATTGGTTGCTGTGAATGGCTTGGAGTGATTGATGATGGATTGACTATGCCGTTAGGTCGTTATCCTTTTGCTTACACTTTGGAGATACCGATGGGAAGGTTTCATTTTGAAACAGGGTTAATGGCTGGGATTTTCCGGGGTAGATAGGACCTTACCACTTTGGTACTGTTGCGTTGGATTTGTCGGTCTGGTCAGCTGGGTTCTATTCCTTCTTACGGGCAATGGATGGAGAAAGCGTTCGCTGAAGATTTACGACATGATGGATACGGTTCGGGAAATGTCTATCTCCAACCTTACTGTGCGGAGGTGATGAATGATTATGTCCCCCTTTCCATCAGTCCAGTGATCGCGTGACAAAGCACTCAGGCAGTACCAAAGAGTTGGCGTGCTCTGGTCCAGGCCACTGTGGTTCAATGGTGAGGTGCCATCCATTTCTATTGCTGTCTCCCTCTGGAAACAAATTGATAAATAGTATTTTACTCCGTACTAACTCTCGTAGACCATTCGGAATCGGGCGCTCAACTGTTCTGGGTCACGGACAGCGCTATTCCCAATTGGGAAGCGGATTCCAAGCTTTTGTGGCTCCCATGCCGAATGTTACCTCCAGATCTGAAGCTGTCGGTTAGATTCCGTTACGTACTCTCTTAGGCTACTTACTTGCTTCCGTACCCACTCGAGAAGCATAGGAGAAGGATAGGAAACAAGGCAATTGTTGTCGAAGTATGTTATCATGGAGCCACGCTAGTGTAGCACTGAAGTTACGGTCTCGTATACCACCGGCTTATCATCGGTTTCAGCCGTCGAGATTACCTTAAAGAATAGATATTATTAGCCTGTCGCGACGTTGTGCAGCGATGATCGCCATTTGATATGGAAAAAAAAAAAAAAAAAAAAGAAGCCACAGGGAACTCTAAGATATCCGGTTTCTCTAAGGGGTAAAGGTTGCTGCCTGTGAGCATGTTGGCGGCGGAAGGCTGAGTAGAGCCAAGCTTCTGTTTAGGCGCGGGAAGATTCCGGAATTAACTAGGGGCGCCCCCTAAAATCGAGTGGCAGAGCTTCATGGTATGTATGCGATAAAGACTGGGTATCCCATTGGCTCTGATAGGTAGGACATGGTTGTGCTCGTTTTGAGAATACTGTACGCTGTCGTCAAGGTGCATACATCATTGCATACCGTATTAAAGAGGCGGTTGAGTTGTTGGGCATGCAGACTATACGACCGAGAATAAAATTCATAAAATGCCTCGAGCTTCACTCGCGCATCGGTGAGGTTATCTTTTAGTGGAGTGTTTCTCATCTTGGCTCGAATCAAAACCTCACATAAGAATGAGCACCACTAGTGCCGGTCGTGGATGTTACTAAAACCAAAGGCTAGCTAGGGACTGGAGAAAGTTCGGAACGTCAACGGGTTGAGCGGAGGACTTTCCCTAAGAAATCTTGAGGTGTCAGTGATAATAACCTTGGCTAGTATCACCCGGAAAACTATAATAGAACTGATTATTGTATAGCATATACGGTGCATAACAATTGTTGATTAGGCCATTCGCTCTTGCAAGAATCTCTGCTGCAGGATTGGTTGTCTAGAGACCGTCGGACACGGGCCGATGAATTGAAGCTCCGAGCCGGTTCGAACTAGACGAAAACTACTCCTGACGCGCACAGTATCCATAATCTATGACGTTGGGGGGAGGGAGAAAAGATGAGTAGGGTAAATCAAAATTCAAAGTAAAAGTAAAACGCACATGGCTAGAATCAAAATTTTGCAGCGGAACCTCTAGGGCCGGAGTGGAGCGAAAACACCGTGTGTAGCAAGGATCAACCAACCACTGCACCAAAGTTGACTATGTATCCAAGGCTCTTAACTAGCCCTCACACCACAACCGAATAGTGCCTCAATTCATTGAACCCATCGCCACCAGGGACTCAGGACCAAAACGGCACTAGGTTAATTATGTGCCTAGTGCATAACCTATGACGATATACTGGTAGGTGGAGGCAAATCGGAATTCGAAATTGACTTTGTGCCTATCACGGTGTCCGCTATAGTTAGTTCTTCCGTGAGAGATGGAGCCAAGAGGTAAAAGATGGGGAACCTCTCGGACCTTTGGGGGATCAACTAATCAAATCAAAAGTGGAGTCGACAAGGAAGGCTACATCGAGGCATAGGGTTGACATTAATAAAAGAAAAGGAAAATAAATACGAAGCGCAGCGTGACGATATCTTAAATACTCACTTTTGCCCCTCCCATGAGACCAGTCTTTCTCCAACATTCACATCAATTCCTCCTTTCATATTTTCCCCTCCCCTCTACCTTCTGCAAAAACCTTCTCCTGCATCTGCAGCTTGAGGTATTTGCTTCTTTTTGCGTTAGGCTGTACCCGACACCAAGACTTCAGTCTCTGTCTTACGCCTTTCCACTTTGTTGATAGCTCGAGAGAACAAGCAACGAAAAACAACAGATTGAATTCTGTAATACTGATCGCTTCGGCTGTTCCGTATCTTGTATCGCCGTATCGATAGGTCCTGTCATCTCTCCGTGTGCGACAATCACCCAGCAATTTCTGGAATCCGACGACAAACTCGACGACCCCCCTTCGCGACTTTGGACCCGCAGGAAGTGTGCCAATAGCAGTCGACCTGACCAGCAGTAACATCACCAGGACCTGACATCGAACCCCCAACAGCAGCCAATCTGTCCAACAGCACCCCCGTTACCATTCGAACCAAACCCGGAACGAATCCATAAGCCCTTATGCAACCGTGGTTATAATCGACTCAATTAGACCATCCGATCTACGGACTCCCACGCGGTAATCTTGCAACACGGCAGCCGGCTCGGTATCCCTATTTCGAACACTGTGTTGCCCTTTGCACCAACTTCGTATACTGACACCCATTGCAATTACCCGCCACAATGGCCGACTTCGACATAGAAAAGGAGCCGAATGTGAATCCGGCATCCAAGGGTGAGAATGCGTCAGGAGCCGATGATTCTGACGCACTCAGGCTGGCCGAGATGGGATACACACAGGATTTGCAGCGCAATTTCTCAATACTTTCACTTGTTGGTATTGCGTTTTGTATGTCTAATTCCTGGTTCGGTATCTCTGCATCCTTGATCACTGGTATCAGTTCTGGAGGCACGGTCCTTATCGTCTATGGGTTGATCTGGATCGGCTTCATTTCGACCTGTGTGGGAGCCTCGCTTTCCGAACTAGCCAGTTCCATGCCCAATGCCGGTGGTCAATATTTCTGGGCCAACGAACTTGCGCCTAAGAAATACGCACGATTCGCATCCTATTTCACCGGCTGGTTTGGGTATGCTGGTGCTATCTTCGCCTGTGCTAGTGTCGCGCTCAGCCTTGGGTCCGCTGGAGTAGGAATGTGGCAACTTGGCCATCCCGAATTGTATGCTCTGGAAGCCCTAACCTTCCTTTTAGATGTATCCTTTTGTGTGTGGTGCTAACTGATAGATAACAGTGTCCCGGAGCCATGGCATACTGTGGTGGCTTATCAGCTCATTAATTTTTTTTGTTATCTCTTCAACTGCTGGGGTAAAACGCTGCCTGCAGTTGCAAAGGTCACCCTTTACATCTCTCTACTATCCTTCTTCGTGATTCTGGTTACGGTGCCCGCCTGTGCCAAGACTCATGCCAGTGGAGCATATGTGTTCGGCCATTTCGTCAATTCCACTGGATGGAAGTCGGACGGTATGGCTTTCATTGTTGGGTTGATCAATCCAAACTGGATCTTTGCCTGTTTGGACTCTGCGACCCACCTCGCGGAGGAGGTACCGCAGCCTGAGAAAAACATCCCCATCGCTATTATGGCCACGGTTGGCATTGGTTTCGTCACCTCTTGGTTCTACTGTATTTCCATGTTCTTCAGTCTGAATGACCTGAGCAAGCTCCTGAATACAGCCACTGGTGTTCCTATCTTGGAGCTTTACTACCAAGCTCTTGACAATGTGCCGGGCGCCATTGTGTTGGAGACCTTGCTGCTCGTTACCGGGATGGGATGTCTGATTGCGTGCCACACTTGGCAGTCTCGCCTCTGCTGGGCTTTTGCTCGTGACCGTGGTATCCCTGGACACAAGTGGCTCTCTCAGGTGAACCACACTCTCGATGTGCCCCTGAACGCCCACAATGCCAGTAGCTTCATCGTTGGTGTTCTCGGACTGCTCTATCTCGGCTCCTCTACCGCTTTCAACAGTATGGTGACGGCCTGTATCACCTTGCTGTATATCTCGTACTCCTGTCCCATTCTGTGCCTCTGGTATCGAGGCCGTGACAACATCAAGCACGGCCCCTTCTGGCTTGGAAAGTGGGGTGCCTTCGCCAACATTGTCACCGTGCTATGGACCATCTTCTGTCTTGTTATGTACTCCTTCCCATCAACTATGCCGGTGAACACAGGCAGTAAGTCTTTTTTACCTCTAACAAACTTGATTGGACATTTCCGCTGACTTTCCTCAGACATGAACTATGTCTCGGCCGTATATGGTGTGGTGATTTTCATTGTTCTTTGCGATTGGTTCATTCGCGGTAGACGCGTATATAAGGGCAGTGTCAGCGCCATGGAAGGCCATGGCGCGTCTGAGGACTCTGAGTAAGGATGGATATTGATTATCCCCGCAATTCGCTTCTTCACCCCTCTATTTTGCACACACATATTTTTTTTTTGTGATTTGGAAGCGTTTTCATGATTTGTTCACGGCGATGCGAGGGCGTTTTGACAATGCCAGAGAGAGAGAGAGAGAGGGTCATTGCTCGAGAACAGAGAAACTCTCTGTAGAGTCGGAAGTTGTACAGAAACGACGATACCCTACAGCCATAAGAGCTGATGACCTTTAAAGAGAAAAAAGAAAAGAAAAAAAAAATCCAAAAAGTTCAATAACGTATCTTCTCAGTCATTGAGATCTGGAATCTTGTGGAGGAAGATGAAGTTTGCAGATGAAAGGGAAGTAGTAAGATGACTGCCATGTGACTGTAGGCTATGCCGCTTCTGGCCGGGTGAGTTTACTGGAGGTCGATGACTATTGAACTCCTTGAGTATCATTGTTCTCTACTCCGTATATTGTATGAATTTGTTTGACAACATCACCGATATGTCATACCATAGAATAGGGTGAAATTATTCTCAGATAAATAGACCATGGCAGCTAATTGCATGATATCAATGGGACGTTTTCCATAACTTTTTCTTGACATCGGTATAACAGACTAGATTAATGGTGTCTTTGTTGATGCAAACTTAATGGACAAAGTGTGCCATTTGTGGGTAATATTTGGGCACTTCAATACCAATAAATTGCGTCAATGGCTGCCTGGATCCAGGCTCTCAGTCCTTGTCTCATGAGGGATATGGGAGAAAAAAAAAAAAAAAAAAAAAGAAAAAGGCTCCTCTTACTGTGGAGTCTTGTCCATGTTTAAGTTGACGGGTCTCCGTCCGTGATCCACCAGTTAAATGCGGTCCTGAGTGCGCCCGAAATTTTCCCACCCAAACGTTTTCAGGATTTGAAGCCGCTCGCCGAATCGTGCGCGGCTGTACGTAATAGAATACTGAATAGCCGTTGATCGGAGTCTTACTTCTCCAAATTGAACTTTCGATGCGTTGGGGTAGACGCGGCTATGAAGACGATGAATGTTTATCTCTCCGCAGCATCTTATTAGGATCTTATAAAGCACCCGCTTCAATTCGCAAGGCCATTGCCCCACGTCCAGAGGCTTACCGGTTTGCTGATTCGGCTTACTATCAGAATCCACTGGGTTGCATCGCACAGCTTCAACAATACTAAAGAGCAAAGAAGAGGCCACGATTTTATCACTGTTGTTTCGCTACTCTAGCCTGTTGTCGACCCGCGTGCTATTCTGTGCATCGTTGTAGGGTGGTCAAGGGACCAGCGAGCTTGAGGTTCCTTCGTTCTCATCATGGCAACCATGGACAATATCATCCCTGAGATGATCGAACAACAATTAGAACCTCAGCTCCCTGAAGCGAGGGTCCTTATCATTATGACTGGAGGTACCATATGTATGCGACCGTCACCATCAGGATTTATACCAGCGCGAGGGTTCCAAGAGCAATGTCTGGCCCGGGTGCCTACTTTCAATGATGGCTCTCCTTCGACCATGATGGATGTTGTTGTCGATAACACCGGCCAGATCAAGGGCCATCAGAGTCTACGGACACCACAGACTGCGTACGGCCGCCGAGTAAGATATACGGTGTTTGAATTTGAGGAGCTGTTGGACAGCAGCTCTATTGATGCCAAAGGCTGGGCAGAAATTGCGCGGACCGTTGAGAGGAACTACACACTTTTTGACGCATTCGTCATCCTTCATGGTACAGATAGTTTGGCGTACACGAGCTCCGCACTCAGCTTCATGCTGCAAAACCTGGGAAAAACTGTAGTCCTCACGGGATCCCAGGCTCCAATGTTGGAGCTTCAGAATGATGCGACAGATAATCTTCTTGGGTCCCTGGTTGTGGCTGGCCACTTCATGATCCCAGAAGTGTGCCTGTACTTCAACAATCGACTATTCCGTGGTAACCGGTCGAGCAAGGTGGCGGCAAGTGACTTCGCTGCATTTGATTCTCCAAATTGCACACCGTTGGCTGTGACCACTTCCATGCGCACTAACGTCAACTGGGAGTTGGTGAATCGGCCAAAGGGCATCGAGCATTTCAGCATTCAGACACATCTAGATACCACCCATGTCGCCTGTCTTCGTATATTCCCTGGTATCAAGCCAGAAATGATTGACGCAGTGTTGAGACTAGAAGGGCTCCGTGGTTTGGTGTTAGAGACCTTTGGAGCTGGTAACGCACCACACGGTCAAGATAACGCTTTGATCAAAGTGCTTGCGGATGCCATTAATCGAGGCATTGTGATCGTTAACGTCACCCAGTGTAAGATTCACAAGACCTTCAATCCCATGCGATGAACTGTTCAACTCTGACTCTGAGCAGGTTTGACCGGCAGCGTTAGCCCGGTATATGCCACCGGTATGAGCTTGTCTCGAGCTGGTGTTGTCGCAGGTCTCGACTTGACCACAGAAGCGGCCCTGACAAAACTGGCGTACCTCCTTGGTCTCCCAGACGCAACCCCAGAGTCTGTGGCACGGGACATGTCGAAATCACTCCGAGGAGAATTGACGGAGGTTTCGCAACCCGTATTTCGTCATCCAGACGGCGCTCTCACTGAGCGTGTCCAGGCCCTTACCATTTTGGGCTATGCCATTGCCCAGGGAGATCTCGCCCGGGTCGAAGAGATTCTGAAGCTGGAAAATCACTACCTTTTGAACGATGCCGATTACTCGGGCAATACTCCGATCGTAAGATACCCTTCCTTCATCCACATCCTCCTCTCTTTCTTCTTTACCTGTCCGTTAACAAAGCACTTCAGCATCTGGCCGCGACATCGCCATCACTCTCCATCCTGCGTTTCCTGCTGATGCAGGGTGGCTCCGTCCACATTCGAAATCGCAACAACCGCACGCCACTGTTCCTGGCGGCCAACGCAGGCTTATCGGAGCATGTTATGTTGCTGCGCAAGTCGGGCGCACATTTGCACTCGGATGAACGGACCGCGGCACAGTTACTCGCGCGACGTAGACCGGGAGTCTGGGGATTGGCGGGGATTGGACCGCGGGAGGTCAGTGACCGTGAAATGGAAGAAGCAGGAGAGGAGCGACTGGCGGAGCGAGTGATGGCCGGATCGGCACCGTAATTTAATCAAGGATGTTGGCGCCACTGATCACGAGACGACATGCCCGATTCAGCTCGATAAAAAAAAAAAAGAAAGAAAGAAAGAAAGAAAAAGGCACAAGCCTGATTGATGCCCGAGGAATTAATTTTGTCTAGATCCCAAGGAAAAAATCACGATAGAGTAGAAATAAGCACTAGTCTGAGATAATGAAACCGTTCCAAGTAAAGAAGCCCACGCCAACCCGGATCATATCATTACTGTGTATATAACGCCTGATCAACAAAATGCCAACGAGATCAGGTGAGGTGATCCTTTAGTGTCACACCCGCGGAAAAAGAAAGAGCCTGAGCGCAAAGGCCGACCTGCAAGCAAAAGCACGCACCAGGTTGATCCAGGGCAATACAATGCGGGGAGGAAACGGTACTCTCCGATTCGATTCGAAAGCCATGAGACGTTACCCTACAAGGCAGGTCATCCTACTACGGAATAGAAGCCGAGCATGCTTGTATGTCCTATGTAGTACATACTTTGGGGGTTCTTATCGATCCAACCATATCAACTGTCACTACTTCTTCACACAGTGGTCATGTGCTCGTATCCTCCCGGAAAATTACTGGGCAAAGCTTCGACCCTCCGTTGGTTGAGAGAAGACCCAGAAGGTACGACGACGGCGAGCATAGTAACTTCTTGGCAGAGGTGATGCCAACAAAGGACGGCACAGACCGAGTCGGGAGCGGTGGCCGAGTCTGGCACCGTTAAAGGAACGTGGGCGTGATGGACGACGAGAGAGGACCAATACTTTGTTTCAGCAGGGGCTCCACTGCGAATATCTTGTAGAGTAGTTCCTTTGATTCGTAGTTTACTCGACTAGACAGGGAATAAGGACATATTTCAATCGAGGATCTTTGCCGGGAAATAGAACCGGGCCCGTGGTGGTGATTTTCTAAACCGTAGATACGATTCTCTAAAGTACTCACTGACTCGTTCTATACTGGATCGAGCATGTACCCGGAGACTCCTACCGAAGTTGCTTTTTCCCCGCCCTAAAAACGAGCAGGGGCAATGCATTGCGGGCGGGTTTTTTTTTTCTTTCTTCTTTTTTTTTTTAAGTGCGAGTTACGGTTGAGCAATATTTGTCGATTGAGTTGTGCATCGAATACAATTCTCAAATAGATACGTACAATATACACTTTGAGTAGATATCAATCGATCCAAAAAATTAAGAACAGATATTAATGCATCATTCGATCCAGGATCAAGCAAGCAACTCCCGAATGTAAACACCGTATATCAAAGGCCGTGATCACTAGATCGACCCGGCGACGTGCTAAAGAATCCGATTCAATCCAGACTGCATCCCGAGTTACGTAAAGGAAAGACGGTCAATGGCTGCGCGACGGGCGGAGTTATGGAGCTATGGATGTTTCTGGCGACTTCGTCTGTGCAGTCTTAACTGTCCGGTGATCAAAACCTGGTCGAGACCTTGGGAGGTTCTAACCCAAAGTTCCCTGGAAATGCCACCGGTTCCTATCAAAGTAAGGGTCACGGGTGTTCAAGATATCCGATCAGGGAGGAGGCTTATACATACGAACCACAGCAAAGTAATGTAAAAAAGAAAAATTATAATAATTATAAATTAAAATCAAAAGCAAGAATATGTGAGAGAAGAAAAAAGAGAACTAAAAATTCAAAAGAGAAAATTAAACTGGATAAAATATCTGCATTCAATCTTTGTGTGTGGGCAACGCCGTTGTTTCCATGACTGTTTCCCATTACTCGATATGAACCACAGTGGATGATTCTCCTCCTCGGACTCCAAATCGGACTGCAGTCTTTTTCATTTTTATTATATTATATTATTTTGTTTTGTTTTATTTTATTTTTTATTTTTTATTCTTAGTACTAGTTTTACTCCCCTATTCTCCTCTTACCAACAACCCCAGACGATCCTAATCCAGACCAGTCAGCTAGTAGTTTAGTTGGGGACCTCACAGGACTGCTCGTCCATTGGGATGCCTCCATTCGTCCATATGACATCCCTGCCCTTGCCTACTTATACCTTTACATACATCGGTCTCGTTTCCCCCTTCGAGATCGAGAAGAATAAGAGACGGTGGCCTCCTCCCTAGGTTCATGATCAATTGCACCATCGATTAAGTCTTCTCACTTGCGAAAACCTGCGTTCCTAACCTCGTGAAGGGTATACTACCCAGTACTTCTTGTGGACGCGAATCTCGGAACCGTTCCTTGGATCGATCCACCTTCCCTGCCTGTCGTTCTGAATTTTCTTTTTTGTTAATCAGACCCGCGCAACTGATTCAGATCCTCTACGATTGCTTCTTTTTCTCTTTTTGATTGTGAATCCCCTAATAATTATAATTATTTTAGTCACTGGCGGGGAAGTCCACCGGGAGCATTGCCAGTGGAAGGAGAGCATTCCGAAGCCCTTATCCATCTGGTCCGGGGCCATTAACTAAGAAAAATACCTTGTGAGCCAACAATTAATTGGAACCAAGAAAAGAAAAAAGAAAAAAAAAAAGAAAAAACAAAGGCACCATATTAACCCCCTGGTGGGTTGCGGCTTCTCAAGCAACGACAATCAGCTTCTATCAACCTTTGTCTCCAACTCAGCGATCCACTATCAGCGTCCCAAAAAAAAAAAAAAAAAAAAAAAGAGAGAGAGAGAGAGAGAAAAACTCTTATTGCACCATTCAAGAAATCGATTGCGGCATTAGCTTTGCGCTCAATCGACAAACGAATTTTGGTGACCAAGGTCAAGTTCACCAGGAGCAGGCCAAACCCCACTGAGGAAGGACATTGGGAAAAGTTGATACTAAATTGTGCCCCATCTTGTCCGACGACTAACCTAAACGGCCGGCCCCTCGTGATAATAATAATAACCGTGTAAATCAAACCAGTTCTTTTTGCTCCTGATCCCACCAGACTTACTCCAGATTTTCTGTCGGAGCCGCCTTCTTCTTCATTGGCCTCTCTCATCTCTTTCGACCTGCGTCCTTTTCTACCCCGCATATCCTCTCTTCCTTTAAACAACCGTCGGAGGGGTTTTCCAAAAAGTCGCTTTCGCATACTACGGCACCTCCGTCTCTCCCCGCGCGCTTCTTCTCCCCTCTTTCCTTCTCGCCGCCCCCTCCCCCTCTTCCTTCTCCTTCCTCAGTACCGCCCCGAATGACACAACAGAAGACCATTGCCGTCGTGAACGCGACGGGTCGCCAGGCCGCTTCCCTCATCCGCGTTGCTTCCGCCGTTGGCCATCATGTACGAGCTCAGATTCATTCACTCAAAGGTATCATTGCGGAGGAACTGAAGAGTCTACCAAATGTCACCCTGTTCCAAGGTCCTTTGCTCGACAATGTACCCCTGATGGACGCCCTCTTTCAAGGAGCCAATCTGGCCTTCATCAATACGACGTCACAATCAGGCGATGAGGTCGCAATCGGACGTGCGCTCGCTGATGCAGCCAAACGGGCTGGAACCATTCAACACTACATCTACAGCAGTATGCCAGATCACTCAGTTTACGGACCCTGGCTGCCCGTACCGCAATGGGCGCCCAAGTTCACGGTCGAGAATTACATCCGGCAACTAGGACTTCCCGCAACCTTTGTCTATGCCGGAATTTACAACAACAACTTCACCAGTCTACCCTACCCGCTTTTCCAGATGGAACTCATGCCCGATGGGAGCTTCGAATGGCACGCGCCATTCGACCCGGACACTCCGTTGCCATGGTTGGATGCGGAGCATGATGTTGGTCCGGCGCTGCTACAGATTTTCAAGGATGGCCCCAAGAAATGGCACGGCCACCGGTAAGTTTTGCCCTTGCAGGAGCAGACGTAATTCGCCGTGCGTGCGAGGCTAAGAATAACATAGAATTGCCCTGACATTTGAAACTCTCTCCCCCAACCAAGTGTGTGCAGCCTTCTCGCGAGCCTTAAATCGTCCATGCCACTATGTTCATGTGCCTAAGGTCGAGGTCAAAGTGAAAATCCCTCCTGGATATCGAGAACAGCTGGAGGCGATCGAGCAAGTCTTTGGACAGTGCAATGCGCCTTACTTCCCGCAGCCCGAATTCTCCAGCCCCGCAGCAGGTTCCCCCAAGGGCTTGGGCCCGGCCAATGGAAAAGGCGCCGGCGCCGGCATGATGCAGGGTCCCGGAGGGGTCGTATCGCTGAGAGTCACCGACGAGGCTCGGTACCTGTGGGAGGGTTGGCGCGATATGGAAGAATATGCACGCGAGGTCTTTCCGGTCGAAGAGGAGGCCAACGGATTGGACTGGATGTTGTAACTGGGAGATTTTTTCTCTCGGTCAGATACACTCCAACCGGTTTAGGGGGCAGTCGCACAGACATCGCGGCTTTCTGACGCTATCGGAGCACGCCACGATTGGTCCGATATGCTTGCAGGCCCCCTTCGCTCTCCCCTCCTTCTGTTTTACACTTTCCCCTGTCACCCCTTGTTTTCTCTTTTATTAATAGCATTAACGGCGAATCGGCCCGGGTCTTATCATTGAAGAAAAGTACCCTAATGGAGCGGGGAACAAAAAGAAAGAAAAGGTTTCACGGCTCTTATCTCACCTCAGACGAGAAGGCAGAAAAAAAAGTAATGGTTTGTTTTGATTGGAATGGTACGGTTGGATGAAACGCACGTCACGACATGCAGCATGATGACCAGTGGCCCATCCGCCACAAAAGTTGATTGATTGGCTATATTTCTTTTCGTTCATCGCTTTTATTATCTGTCTATTTTACTTATTCCCCTCGTGTGTTACGACTCACACCGGCGGCTGTTTGATGATTTGAAATTTATAATCCATCTCTGATTGGATGTGAGAAGTGTTAGAAGTGTGTGTGTATGTGTTCCAGTGCCTTGGACCACCATGATCGTGCCTTGTGAGGCAGCAGCGAGGAGGTTGATTAGCAAGATTCATAGAGAGAATGGCTAATACCGCGAATTGACAATGGCAAACCCCATTGCGACCAAGAATCCGCATACTAAAGATGGGATGAAGTCGAAATAAACTAACGCGAATCCTTTTCAACCTAAAGGGAAAGCAGAAAAAGAAAAGAAAGCTCCCCCCGATCCCTTATCTCCCCGCATTTAGCAAGATAGGCAAGCTCCCTGAGTTGATCAGCAAAAAGACCCGGAGTTCAATTAAAACTCCGACGTCACCAGTAAATTTAGAGATCAACTATCGCAGAGTCTAACCACTTAGCCTAAAGTATATCCTGCTTATCAGGGAGTAACAAAAAAAGAAAAAAAGAAAAAAAGAAAAATATAAAAGCAACGTGACCTTGTCTGGGCCTCGATGGATGGGGTCCTACTATTCATTCCCATGATTGGTCTTTATTTGTCACCTGTTCGGGATGGTACCTAGTAGTAGGGATTGTTACCTAACGTTCCTGGTAAATGGTTGTATGAAAGGAGTGCTATTCCATTACCGGGAGGATATAGGTCGGGGTGGAGGTGGATTCAGTCGGTATTTATTTATATGCTGGACTTGGGTTATCCGAGACACTGATTTTTCTATCATGTAAACTTATGGCAATTGAAGGTATTGGTAGCTTTGTATGTACTATACATAGTATTGTTGTTGTTTTGTTTCATCGGATGAGTTGACTGTAGATGCAGACTATCTAGTATGTACATTATGAATACAGGCCGACCAGATGAATTATGTCAGCGAGACTAATACAACAGAATCATGAACAGCTAAAGGAAACTACTACTAGGGTCTGGTAACTTAACATCATGATGATGGATGGGAACGGAAACAAAGGCTCGACAGCTCCTGATTGGCCGAAGGGTGCTTGCTGCCGGACAGCGTTAGTGTGAACAGGTGACTTGGACCTGAGACGCCGAGTCCAGACGGGAGCGCAATTGCGATAGTCCGTCTGCGCGGAGTAAAGTTTTTGAAGAATTTAAAAATTTCTGATCGCGTCTTCTCCATCTATCTTCCCTACCTCTACAATCATCTCTCTCCCCATTTTTTTTTTCGTCGGGTTTCACATAGAATTGCCCCCCGAATCGTATCTTCAAAGCTTCTCTTACCCCTTTTCTCGCCATTTTACATCGACCGAGCTTAGGTCCTCGTCACCGTCATGTCCACCGACTTTGGAGCTTCGTTGCTTGATCGCCTCCAGGGGTCCGAACCTACCGAGGCGCAATTGAAGAAGATGTCTTTCCTCGAAGAGAAGCGCTCTCGCATTGACGTCGATTGCCGTAAGTTTTGCACCGATCGCATCGAGCACTGCGCGGTATAACTAATCCTGGCAGTTCGTGACAACACCCTAAAGATGCGTGATTGGTACAACGAGCGCGATGCCTTCGTCAACGGAAACGATGAGATCAAGGAGAACTTCTGGGTTCGCGTCTTCGCCAATGCCCCCAGCGAGATCGATCAGTACATCATGACCCCTGACGCGGCCGCTCTAGGCTCCACCCTCAAGAACCTGAAAGTGGACCGGTTCGAGCTTAACGAGCAGGGCAAGGGTGAGCCCCGTAGCATTCGTTTGACCTTCGAATTCCGCACTGGCGAGGAAAACCCATTCTTTGAGAACGAGAAGCTCGTCAAGGAGCTCTACTGGCGTAGGAGATCCGTCAAGACTGCCGATGGCAAGACCAAGTCCTGGGAGGGTCTTGTCTCCGAGCCGGTTCGCATTCAGTGGAAGAAGGATATGGACCTCACCAAGGGTTTGCTCGACGCGGCTTGCGATCTGGCCGAGGCCGAGAAGGGTGGAAAGGACCGCAAGAAGCTCCCGGAGTTGGAGAAGCTGAAGAACAAGATTGTTGAACTGGAGACGACTGCCGACCAGGAGGAGGATGAGGACGAGGATTTCCCTCTCAGCCCCGCAGGCGCAAGCTTCTTCGCCTTCTTCGGCTACCGGGGTAACGACGTATCGGCAGAGGAGTCGAAGGCCGCTACCCAGCAAGCTGACGAGCGCTTTGCCAAATTGTCGAAAGGAGAGACAGTTGAGGATGAAGAAGAAGAGGAGGACGAAGAATTCGAAGACATCGAAGTCTTCCCAGACGGAGAGCAGCTTGCCATCGCTATTGCTGACGATTTGTGGCCCCATGCTCTCGAACTTTTCAGTAAGTTGTTCACATCAAATCTTTGAAATAGATATTCTAACGATGTCAAGGTCGCGATGAGGGGATGGATATCGAGGAACTCGAGGGTGACCTTGAAGACGAAGACGAGGATGACGAAGACGACGAGGAAGATACACGCCCCAAGAAGAAGACCAAGGTGTAAGCCTGTGAAATCATCTTTTTGACCGACTGATTCGTATGACGATTTGTATTTTGAACTTTTTTGCTTGGTTTCTTACAGGGCGATGACCAGGATTAATAATAGGACAAGCACGAAAATGAGAACGGCGATGCAAAACGAGGACATTGTATCTGTGTAATATTCAGTTAGCCTTGATATCAAAAGCAAATAATAAGGGGTGGGATGGTGCGACGAAACAATAAAGTAATACTTACCTTCGTTCTTTCTCACGATATATTTAATCTTTGACACTCCACTCTGTAACTTGCCCCCTACTCGGTCGGCCAATGTATCAACCTCTCCTATCATGACTGCTTGCTCCTCTAGCTCCCTCCCCATATCGTCAGCCTGTTGTCGCAAGTTGCCAACGGTGCGGAAGACGCCATCTAACTGTTCGTCTTGCTCGTGCATCAGTTCCACCTGCCGTTGCTGTTCGAGAGCGGCATAGTAATCATCCCCTCTATCATCCGCCGAAGGGGAGAGGACATTGTCAAAGTCTGATGGATTGGGTAGCCCCGAAGACGAATTGCCAGTGGGCGCACCCGATCTAGCACTGCTAGTTGTCGCAGAACTAGTAACGGCTTTTTGCAACTCCTCTCTCATTTGCTCAATCTCTCCACCGACATCTTCCACCAGCTTTCGCCGGCGCTGAACCTCTTCCAGCTCCAAGCCATACCGGTATGGATCTTGTTCGATTGCACGGACACTCTCGACGAGATCATCCAAGTCCGCAGTGAGTTCGGTCAGCGTCGTCTCTAGTTCCGAGCGTGCTTGCTGAAGTTCGGGATTGGATGGGGATTTAGCGAGAGACCTGATGCGTAGATACGATGAGAAGAGAGGCCTTGTTGTTTGCAGCGTCGCAAGGACGTCTCTATGAAGGGTTAGCTCTTCGTGCTACTTGGTCAAAGGGGGAAAGCTAGGGAGACTGACGCTTGAACATGGAGGAACGGATCGGCGTGATCCATGGTTATAATATCGCGTTATTATTACTAGGAAAAGATCATTTCAAGTACTAATGATGGAACGGTAATTCCCGTAGCCTCGAAGGACTGGAAGCTTGTGAATGATGATACTTTGTTCTGGACTCCGAGGACATTGCAGGCGGATGCTAGGCGGTGGTAGAAGCGGTAAACTGGGGCGGTGTTATGGGAAGGCGGTGGCGCCCCATCCTACCCCTTGCTTACAGCTCTGATGACTTGTTCATTCCATTAAGACTCGGTTCATAATTTCATTCTGGTATAGGAAACTAATTGTCGTTAATCTAGTCATTATAAAACAATGTTGAAATAGCCCATCGTAAACACTTGGTGAAGGTCAACGTGTCTTTGAGTCCACATGTCTTTCAAATACTTCTCCGCAGCGCGGTTATACTGTCGGCCTCGTTCATCAATCAATGCTGGTTTCACACTCCAGCTCCTCACTCGTCGCTTGCAGTCACAAGTCAGACAGCCCAGTTTTGGGACATTCTTCCAGGCTTGCCAGTAACTATCGAGTGGGTCTGAGAATTGACATTTTCTTACATCGGAATCAGAAGCTTTCTCCTCCAGACCACAGCACTCATCCTGAGGGCTCAGGAGGAGTTTTGCTAGGGACTGTGGTGATTGCTTCAGCAGAAACCATGAGATCACGCTGTATTCATTCCTCGCATCCCGATGCCACTCTTTGGGGCCATGTCGGAGAAGCATTCCCTCTATAAGCTCCCGCAGCATTCGAAGTGTGGCGTGGAAATCGATCTCTGTCTGCTCATCAAGGTAACCTCTGAATTTGAGCCGCCTCCTGCCGATATCTACTTCTCTATAGCCCCACTTTAAGACTGTATAAGCGTGGCTGGCATACTCTTGGAAGGACGTTAGGCGACGCTTGTTTCGCGGGATGTCGTGGTACTCTTCCAGCATCCTAGTAAGCACCAATAGGCGCCCAGTAACGTCCGGAACTAGAGGGTTTATCTTTTGTTTTGTTTTGTATGTGTCACGAGCAATATCGGCCATGTGGAAAAGCACGTACAACCCTCGCTCTAGTCGCTGAACGAGCCGTTTCTCTGCTTGATAGTTCATCTTTGGGCTTTCCTCGTCTGAGAAGGGACCCCATACTGAGGGAATAATCTGGCACGCCAGCTTGTGTGCAATGTCCTGGCGCTCAAGAAATCCCGAAAGATTGTGTACCGTTAGTGTTCTCTGTTCACCCGTCCGCGGGTTCAGAGTGAGCACAGGGTCAAATGTGCTGATGCCATGGCTGCGCATTAGCCATCGGCAAATGTGTGGTTCAAGCAATTTGATGGCTTCATAGGTTGCCTTGTTTATCAAACAGAGTGTCAACACTGCACCAATATCTCCATTGATAATGATTTGAAAAAGCACATCGGGAATGGAGCCTAAGGGCCTCTGTCTCTGCTTCGTCTTCGAAGTTATTATCTAGGTGAATATAAGGTGGGTCAGCAAGTGCCTGGGAACTTCTGTGACAAACTACAGAACAATACGTTCTCAGCCATCATGTTTACTTACCATAATTCTGTAGATGCCTTGTGCTCTAGCTGAGTGAGTCGCGTGACAGTTTTCAGATATCGACCATTAATTTATGCCGAGGAATCTATTGCTTATATTTATTTAACAGCAAGGGGAATAAATTGCCGCATAGATATAATTAAGCTCTCGACGGTGTGACGCGTTGGCAGAGAATCATCTGCGTGCCTGTTGTAATTTCGCAGATCGCGAGGCTGAGCCTGCAGGATGCAGGAGACAATAATTGAACAAAGTAAATGGACTGGTCAGGAGAGAGGAGTATATTATACGTGGTGAGACCCCTTGCCTGACCTGGGATATCTCCTTTCTTTAGTGAGCGCAGTACGCTCACGTTTATGAGATGGCAGAGCGAAATAACCTATCGTGAGCGTTGCTAACTGCCAGCGCAGTTTTGTTCACTCTATATGTGCTAAGATCCGAAACCGGTCGGGCAGCTCCATTCTTAGCCCAGAGATATTTGATGTTAGTGGCTGTTTAATATAGGATAGCAGCACACCAATATTGGCCTAGAAGCAAAGATCAGCAGGTCTCATGTGCCACTATCGCCAATAGTCCGGCCCCCATTGCTGTCACTGTGGGCTTCGTCATTATGCACCAGAATCCAACCAAGCAAGTGATCGAGAATTCAGGGGAGTCCAGGAGCCCACCGTTGGTGTCAGGAGGATTCTCGATAGTGTCGAGTTGGGTGAGAAACGAACCTCCACACCTGCTCTCCATACCCCATACTCTGGATTCCGCAGATCCGCGATGGTGGAGCTCGCAACGGGCCTAAACCGAATTCGTTCAAACTTTTACCCCTCTACCAAAAGAGAAAAAAATTAAAAAAGTAAAAAATTAAAAAATTCTGGAATAATTCTGTGATCTTCGCGGCCTTCAACATTCCTTGTGACATCTTTGACTTTCTTTTTATATATCGTTTCTTATTCGTTATACTCTCTTTAGCGCTTTTGGGTTGCGCCATTTTTCTTTCTTTCATTCTTTTGGTTCCCTGTTTTCCTTTTCGCACTCTGTGACGGTCGAACGAACGCATGCCACGACCCAAAACTCTTCCACTCACCGAAGAGTGGACTGATCCCGATGCCTACGTCGACGCCCTTCTGTCCTTCGCTACCTCATCCGACATCTTCCGCCACCTTTGCGGCGGCGTGCATATCTTAGACTTTCTGACGCGCGAACCGGATCTCTATACGTCGCTTCTTCCGGAGCATTGGCGAGCGTTCTTTGAGCACCATGATATCCAGGACCTCCTCGACTTATTTCTGAGGGAAGATCTCCAGCCCCTCCTAGATCAGAGCAAGGTTCTAGCGGCAGATGGAGACAACCCGAGGGCACAACAGGAATGGAGGGGAGCTCCCTTACCGCCGACAGATCTCTTAGAGTACCTCCAGCAGATCCGACGGCTTAGTTTGGGTAGAGATTTCCAGCCCCCACAACCTGGGAAACCAACAATACCGAGACACATTGCAGTGGGGATGAATGTCAAAAAGTACCATGAGGTAGCACACTTTTCGAGATATGTCGATTCCCTGTGCGCAACTGTGGATGAGCAGCGGGGCGAGAACATAACCCACGTTGTGGATTTTGGGTCCGGTCAAAGCTATCTTGGGCGGACCCTTGCTAGCCCTCCATACAACCAGCATATCATTGCTATTGAAAGAAAACATCAATTCATCAATGGCGCGATGGGTTTCGATATCTTTGCGAAACTAAAGGAGAAGAAAATGATTAGACTATATAATAAGAAGGCCGCCTGTAAAGATTGCGAGGAAGCAGAGGGACCTGTGACGGTAGACCAGAATGCTTTCCCCCGTGAATCAGAAGGAGCGGAGAACGTAACACCCGATGATAGCGCAAATCGAGACGTGGACGAGGAGGATTTTGCTATGATAAACGTCTTCCGTGACATTAGTATCGCGCCTGATGAGATCGGCTCGGCTCCACATAAGAACGACCCTAATAAGAAAGCGATGGCTTTGGCAGCTAAAAAACAGGAGTCCAATCAGCCCAGAGGTACGATGGATTATATTGAACACGATATTAAGAATGGGTACCTGGAGCCTATCATAAAGGACGTGATTGAGCCACCGTCTGTTGCGCCCGCCGAGAACTCAACGAGCGCCGAGCAGCAAAGCAATGGAAAGCCGAATGATGCCCGGGTTATGGTTGTTTCCTTACATTCCTGCGGAAATCTGCTTCATCATGGCGTTCAGTCTTTGGTCCTGAACCCGTCCGTGAAAGCTATTGCCATGATTGGTTGCTGCTATAACCTGATGACCGAAAGACTCGGCCCTGCTACATACAAACTTCCTATCCTTCGAACCATGCACCCTCGCCTGACGAAGGATGCCGTCGCGTATGATCCGCACGGCTTTCCAATGTCGAAACGTCTGGAAGACTACGAACATGACAGCGGAAGAGGTGTGAAGCTGAACATTACCGCAAGGTCAATGGCTGTTCAGGCACCCTATAACTGGGGCAGGGAAGACAGCGAGAATTTCTTCACCCGGCACTTCTATCGGTCTCTCCTCCAGAAAGTCCTGGTAGACCGTGGAGTTGTGGCAAAGCCTTCCATCCCGAAAGAATTGTACGGTGCAGAGTCTTTGGATTCCAGTGAAGCGGGAAACCCCCTCATTGTCGGCTCCTTGCGAAAGTCCGCTTTTGCTTCCTTTCCTGCATATGCTCGTGCTGCCGTGGTGAAGCTTAGCCGGGATCCTCATAACGGCGAGAAGGTGAAAGCAGGCATGGCCGATATCACCGAAGAAGAGCTAAATGACTACGTGGAAAAGTACTGGCACACGAGGAAGTACCTCGGCATCGTGTGGAGCTTGATGGCCTATAGTTCCTCTTTGGTTGAAGCCGTTATCGTGGTTGACCGATGGCAATTCCTGCGTGAACACGACGGTGTCAAAGACTGCTGGGTTGAGCCCGTGTTCGATTATAGCGTAAGTCCAAGGAATCTGGCCGTCATCGGTATTAAAAAGTGAGATTTGTGGATCTTAATCGATAAATATCCTGATTACGCATCTGCTGCTCGTGCGCTTCGAACCCTTTCAGGCTATGCTTCGTTGCTTAGAGTCAATGGGACGATACGGAACCAGGAATCAAGACCTCAGATGTAGTCTGTCTAGACTTGGCATATGTGGATGACTCGCGTCGCCCAGCAATCTAGATCTTGTTTTAAGTCGCTAGACGTCGTTGCTGTCTGGGCTTATGTATGACGATTACTGATGAGATAGATTTTATGACGTGATGTAAAACTGCTTACCTCTGGTAATAAAATTACTGCTTGAGCAGAGGGGAAGAAGGCAGAAAAACATTCAGGATACTAGACAATCTGCATGCATCATACCGTGGAACGTAAAATTGGTATAGACAATACAATGATGAGTCTGGCCATCGCCAAAAAGGGGGCCTTCAGTATGGCTGTGTTGAGATATCCTACTCCAAAAGATAGCAGCAGACAGACCGCCCGAAATGGCAACGTTCAACGTCTTCTTCCAAGTCAATGAATAGCTCCTTTAATTCTATATTATTGGTTTTTATACTAAATAGATTCTAGTATACTGTCGGCTAGACCGACCAACTGTGCTGTATTAAAAGATACAGGACAGTATCCGGTACGTTTTGTAGTTGCCTTCTGGTCCCTTCGGGTTCCGCGGAATCCGAAACGGTATTTGACTTCCCCATCAGATCTCCGTCATGACATTCTTCCAACAGCCCCTACCCAGTGGGAAATTAGTATTACTCGCATACAATATCCTCCTTTGGCTATACCACACTAATTGATGCCCAGAAATGGAGCCCGAGGGCCCCGAGAGTGATAGCAGGGAGTCTCTTCCCCCTCGGCGTGCAGTGAGTGACCGCTTGCATAGTATGCATTACTTAGCATAACAATCAGACTAACAGTCCAGTGTGACCAATGTCGGCTTAGGAAGGTATACTGCGTCGGCAAACGGTAGAAATTTCTAGGCTTAGGGCCCAACTAATTAATCATGCCGGTTAGATACGATGTGACAAACGGTCGCCCTGCTCTAATTGCCGTAGTTCGCAGATTGTCTGTCGCACCACAGGCGCAGGCCAAAAGCCTCGTGAGCCACGGAGACGAGTCCTAATCTCCGATCAATAGTAGGCGTGTCCCACGCAGTCGAAAGTGGAGCCATTCTGACTTCCCCAGTGAAAAGAAAATTGACTTGATCGAAGATCGCCTGTCCAGCATAGAACAAGTCCTTCGGGACGTGAAGTCCACTATTACCTCTAGTACTCCTGCCGAGACTTGCTTCCATGCAACTCCAGATTCAAGACAGATGACCCCGTCTGCTTCTGGACTTGCATCTGATATCAACGCCACGCTAGACCAACACGAGTCTGGCCCGGCCTTCGAGGGCAATTCGTCTCTTGCAGCCCATTCGGCTTATGCGAGTCAGTTTCTGGAGACAGCAGTCTCACGCAGCGCGCTGCAGCTCTCCAGTCCAACGATCAACACTGCCCTATCGACGCTCAAGCAGCTTGTCAACATGCAGGATTATCAGGCTCATCCTTCCTCACGAGACGTTCGCTTCCCTAACCAAAAGGCTATACCGAGATCAGGATTGCGGAATCTGAACATGCCTCCAGTACAGGTTGTTTTACCCCTGTTGCGCCAATTGAAAGGTACTTTAGGCTGTATGCTTCCATAGAGAGTGTCGTTTTCTAACTGGCTATCAACAGAAGAACCTACACAAACTATCTTGCTAGGGTTCTTCCCTTTTATAACAGCGGATAGTCTTTTCGAGAAGTGCCGCCAGGTGTACTTTGCCACCGAGGAGTACTCTGACGCTACGTTCATCGTGGTGAATGCCTGCTTGGTATATCTTTTTAGTGAAATTAGCTTCTCAGAAAGTGACACCACAAAGCGAGAGATCTATGATAAATATCACGAACTTTGTCGTGTTAACCTTGAGACAGGTCTAGCGAACCTGAATCTTTTGATGCCTGCAACAATGGAGTCAATAGAAGCGCTTACCATGGGAGTAAGTTGGCGCATTATAGATGCTCTGTTAGAGATACTGATCATCTAGGCTATTCACGCAATTGAAATCTCGAAACCATCCTTGGCTCTGGCGTTGACGTCAACCGCATTTCGGCTGTGCCAGACGCTTGGTTATCATCGAGCTTCATCAATGGAGAACGACAGTCACTCCGTGAAGCAAAATAAGCGCTGTTTATTTTGGTCAGTTTATGTCACTGAGAAAGCCCTTTCGCTGCGGCTAGGCCGCGCATCATCTATACAGGATTATGACATATCTGTGCCAACAACAATTGAACTTCATGGCGGCCTCGAGCCGTGGAGAACTATCTATCCGCTATGGATTAATTTAGCTAAAATCCAAGGTAAGGTGTATGAGATGCTCTACAGCCCTACAGCCCTGCGTAAACCTGCAAATGAAAGGGCGTCATACGCCCGTCAATTAGCAGCAGAGATGCAAACGAACGTTGAAGAGCCAATCAAGGTATGCTTCCCAAAGTGGACTATACTATTATGTTGTATTGGTACAAGGCTGAAACTAGGCAGAAGGCCAGCACGAAATTCTCGAACCTCTCTGCACTTGACGAGATTTACCTCAAGTCGGATGAAGTCTGCCGCCTGTCTGTGTTGACTCTAATATACAGAGCTATCCCTGCAGCTGTGGATAGTCGGAGTGCCTTCATAGACGAATGTATTGAGACAGCACGAGTGACACTGGAACTACACCAAAGTTGCATGACGATGATGGAGGAAGGTAACAGAAGTAACGACATCAAGTGTTCGTACCTACACTGGTATGAGTGGAACATATCACTTTAGTTTTAGGGCCATTGCGAATAGCTAATCATATAAACAGGACGATCATGTACTCGCCATTTGTGCCGTTCATCGTTCTGTTTTGCCATATTATTGAGTCTTCGTCCTATTCAGACCTGATTCGTCTGGAAGATTTTGTCAATTCGCTCCAGCCCAACTGTTCATTGTCGGAGGCTATTGCAAAAATGCACCGGCTCTGCCAGGTCCTCAGCAATGTTGCGAGACTATATGTCGAGGCAAAAGCGCAGGGCCAGACGCAAGAGAACGAAGATCTGGCGTCCGTGGGCCAAGAATTTGATGTTTATCTGAGTGCTCTTGGCTTAGCGCCTACACAGCCCGAAGCCGGTGATGTCCGATGGAATGGTTCTGTTCCTGTGCCAGGACCTATCCCCCAAGGCTTGAGCGAAGGAACCGAAGGCCAAGGATTCCATAGCACTATGCCCCCGACTACATTGGGCAGCTGGTTCTCGGGAAATCAACATATGATGGGACTCTTAGAGGAGGATCTATCACTTTTTGATCCTTCTGCATGGTCGTGAAATTGTGTACGTGCCGTATTTTGGCGCCGATGTATGCTCTGACATTGACACAGCGTATAGCACCTCCCGAAATCCTTGCTTGTTACACCTTTCAACATGTATTGCTTGGCTTGAATGCCCAGGAATAATTATTCAGTGAGATACCAAGAGGGGACGGAGGTAGTAACTAGATGCACTTCCCTCCATCGACAATCATCTCTGCTCCGTTTATGAAACTGCCCTCATCGCTAGCTAAGTATAGACACATGTTTGCAACATCATCAGGATCTGTCAAACGGCCCAGCGGCACATTCCCGATAAACTTCTCGCGGTTCTCAGGCGTATCAGGCATGCCGGTAAACATGGAAAACAGGCCGGTTCCTGATAGAAGGGGGCTAACGGTATTGACGCGGATATTGTGAGGACCATACTCAGCTGCGAGACCTTTCGTAGCCTGCTCGGGTTAGCCAACTACCAGACTCGCGCAGAAGTCCACGGAGTCCAAAGGAGATCTTACATTCGACACCGCTCCCTTAGAGGCATTGTACCAGACCAACCCCGGCCGCGGCCGCGACGCACCAGTAGACGAAATATTGATCATCGAACCGCCCTGGCCCTGTTCCATTAAACGAGTCACTAAGGCCTGAGAGCCGAGGAAGATTCCTTTAACGTTCACGTTGAAGACACGCTCCCATTCCTCTTCGGTGACTTCGGCCGTTGGCTACTGCGAATCAGCGGACACGCCTCAGCGATAATTCCAGTTTCGATCCATATATACCTTGTTCCGATAAGTTATCCCAGCATTGTTGACTAAGATATCCAGTCTTCCGAATTTTGAAAAAGCCAGATCCATAACGGTCGTCCAATCCTCAGCCTTGGTGACATCCATCTGCTGAAAGACCAGACTCTCCGGATTCTGAGCGGCGACTTTCTGTCCCCCCTCTGCATTGATATCGGTGATAATTACCTTAGCCCCCTCCTCGCCGAATCGACGGGCAATCGCAGCACCAAAGCCCGAACCACCACCTGATTCATCATTAGCGATATGCATCCCACGCCACGAAGTATAGGATAGGAGCAGCGTACCAGTAACAATAGCAACCTTGCCCTGCAACCGAGCACCGGAAGTCAACTGCCTTGTCATGTTGAATATAGTTATATGATGGCTCTTGAGAGAGAATGAAAATGCTTAGGGATCTTAATTGACAATCGTAAGAAGACAAGAGAAGATATACTAGTCGCTACGCCGAGATATCCGAGGGCCAAAGGAGGGGTGAAATGCGGAGGTGCGGTACGAATGCCGAACGCTTGCATCGCACCCATTGGACGAACTCTCCACCTCTCCGCATTGATTTATCTTACCCCAGACCTAACGGGAGGAGGGAGTCCATATGGATTCTGTGCAGAATATAATTCATTTCCCCCGCGTGAAATATCCCTGATATAATAATTCTTCCAGCTGATGCATCGACCCAACATCACCACATGGCGAAGAGTTGATCTCTAGTTACCCTTGTATACTTACACTCAAGAGTTCCTTGGCTCAAAAAGAAACACCAGAACATAAAATAACTCTCACAACGAAATCAATACAACACGTTACCACCCCCGGGAGGTCCAATATTTAACGGTGCCTCGCACTATCCATAATGACAAGGGCTAGAGACAAGATACCCTGATAAGAGTTTGAAATCATGATTGAAGAGACTGTCGCTGGTAAGATGGCTGCCTGCAGTCAGTATAATTGCTATTTCGTAGCCTGGTACACATTCTCAGGTCGAGGATAGATGATATCCATTGCTAGTTTTCTCAGAGTAGAATTGGGTGAGGTGCCTTGTTTGTGGTGAAATGGTGTTAGTATAGAGAATATAAGTTAGGGTTAAGTGCTCTCTGCGATCTGCTTCATAATGTACATATATATATATATATCTATATATATATGTGCGTGCTTGGCAACTCCACCCCTACTCAATGAGAGAAAGAATTCAGAACTATCTGTCAGATTCCAGACATTCATCCTTTCTCACCGAGTGAGCAAGAGAGAAGAAAGGAAGAACAGAGAGGGAATAGAGAAGAGGCCGAAAAGAAAAGCTAAAACTTAGGACAATATGAAGAAGACACGCTTCAGTGCCACCGTAGATACAAATGGGGTATAGTATCACCCTAACACGATTTATGACGACCATGTTCGATTGATAGGCATACCCTTGTGGCGCACAGACGCTCAGAAAGTTACGAAGTAAGTTTACAGGTGACGGTATACCTCTCGATATGAGGACTGGAACTATTGTGTCCATACTATGGACTGTTGACGATTATTAAGATCTAGATCTAGGTCTAGGTCTATATCGAGCACGCCATAGTTAAGATGAAGATCATCGACAACTCAACTTAAAATCAATGCAGGACCTAAATTGTAGAGATTGGTTGCTCTCTTCTATCTACAGACTACCGACAAATAGGAACAAAACATGCAGGGAATCATTCAGAAAGTGAAAATTAAAAAAGTAACTCAAAAGTAAAATGCAAGTAAGCATATCCGAAACTAGTCAATACCACGAGAATGTGCTCTCAACGCTAATTCTTTTCCCTTTTTTTTTTTTTTTAAAA